CCATGATAGCGGTGGGGAAATTCGAGAGAAACCTATTTTGGAGCCAAAATAGGGGGAGCAAATTGAATGGATCAGGTATAAGATGGCTCGCCCTTGCAAGAGTTCATGCTGCAAACGTCTGTTTCATCGAACGCGCTGAGCCGTGCTTCAACCATCAGTCATTCGATTTACAGTGCACACGTCAATTCCCTATGGCGTCTTATAGGTGACGTCCCAAGCCTCCACACAGTGACGCGATCTAAGTCGTCTAACACCTAGGTGGACAGAGGGCAGCTTGTCTCTACGACTCATTACAGCGATGGGTGTCGAATGATGGGTGAGACGACATATGGCCATGGCCCAACCAGTGAACCCGCCACTGAAATGCAAGCCGATGTAGAGGGCATATTGCACCGAGCAGTCGGGTTTGTGGTGGCAAAACAGTCCCCGGAACGCTATGGTCGCTCTATCCTGGATGTTGGAACCGGTTCGGGGATTTGGGCGACGGATTTGGCAGAGTATCCCTCAAGCCGTGCGTTCAAGCAGGTGCAATCGTTGACTGACCAAGATCAATAGCTATCTATGGCAAAAAGGCTGGAACGCGCAGATCATAGGTACTTTCAGGAAATCAGTTCAGCCAAGATTGTGAGTTCATTGTTTGCCACCAGAAGGCGTGGGATGCGGGATCCGATGTTAAGAGATGGCGCAGCATTCCGACCACCACTAGGTTCTGCTCAACGAATCGACTGGACGCTCTCGATCAACTGAAAGTTGATTTTGATTATGTGCATTCAAGAAGGTTGTGGGAAGCCATAGAGTCACCGGCAGAGTTTTTCAAACAAATATTTGCCCGGCTCAACCCTGGAGGCAGCTTGCAGCTGGAGAGCATCAGCTGGTTGCCTGTCGATCAACAGGGCATCTTGTCGACGCCGCCGAAATTGACGGCATGGTGTGGAATGCTACAGCGTGCTATGGATGCGGGCGATGACGGACTGGGGGATGCAGGGACTAAGGATGACCTTGAAGAGGCTGGCTTCATTGATGTCTCTCGAAAAACAGTCGACTTCCGTTTGCAGGATCATCGAAACACAGCTGGAAATTGGTTCAAGCACGGCCTATTCACGCTACTGAAGGCAGGAGACCTTGCGCCCTTGCCATGGTTGAAGCATTGCAGGCAAGAAATATCAGCAAGGCGCCCTGCTTTCCCGTTGTTGCCCGAGTCCATCGATGAATTTTTGGCCGCAGTCGGGAAAGAACTCGCCGAAGCCAATGTTTGTTTCCAGATGTAAGTCTCTCTCCTGACGAGGCCGCTGGCCAGCAGACAGCTCATTTGCGCGCAGGACGATCTGGACGGGATGTAGACCGGATGATAGTAGTGCTTGTCTTGATCGCGGGGATACAGTCGGAGGTTTATGTGAGCAGCGGTCTAGATAGAGGCTTCGCTGCGAACGGACAATGAACGAGCATAGTGCCTATGAGAGCCTGTTACGCCGGCAATCGAATGAAAGCACCCTGTCTGTGTGGCTTTTCTTCATAGTCCAGTGCACAAGTCTAGACAGTCGGTGGCTTCCAACAGAAACCGACCCAGCTGACGGTGAACATCCACTTGGAAGCGGTGGCATAGTCGTGTTCTCGAACAATACAGACTTACGTTGGCAAGGTTGCAGGGGCGTCGGGCGTCTCTTGCTGGTGTTATTCTGAATCCGCAAACTGCTGGAAGCACCTCAAACCGGTCAAGGGGTGTTTGTCTTGAGTTTTCGGGCAGTCAGCCCCAGCTAGTTTCGAGACCCACCACGGCTTGGTTAGTGGCTAGGTACTATGAGGCGAGATGACGAGACCGTGCACCAAAGACAGGATGTT